ACTGTGTGGTGTGTCCCACTGTGTGGTGTGTCCCGCTGTGTGGTGTGTCCCGCAGTGTGGTGTGTCCCACTGTGTGGTGTGTCCCACTGTGTGGTGTGTCCCACTGTGTGGTGTGTCCCACGGTGTGGTGTGTCCCACTGTGTGGTGTGTCCCACTGTGTGGTGTGTCCCGCAGTGTGGTGTGTCCCACTGTGTGGTGTGTCCCACTGTGTGGTGTGTCCCGCTGTGTGGTGTGTCCCACTGTGTGGTGTGTCCCACTGTGTGGTGTGTCCCACTGTGTGGTGTGTCCCGCAGTGTGGTGTGTCCCACAGTGTGGTGTGTCCCACTGTGTGGTGTGTCCCACTGTGTGGTGTGTCCCACTGTGTGGTGTGTCCCACGGTGTGGTGTGTCCCACGGTGTGGTGTGTCCCACAGTGTGGTGTGTCCCACAGTGTGGTGTGTCCCACAGTGTGGTGTGTCCCGCGGTGTGGTGTGTCCCACGGTGTGGTGTGTCCCACTGTGTGGTGTGTCCCGCTGTGTGGTGTGTCCCGCTGTGTGGTGTGTCCCACTGTGTGGTGTGTCCCACTGTGTGGTGTGTCCCGCAGTGTGGTGTGTCCCACTGTGTGGTGTGTCCCACTGTGTGGTGTGTCCCACTGTGTGGTGTGTCCCACTGTGTGGTGTGTCCCACAGTGTGGTGTGTCCCACAGTGTGGTGTGTCCCACGGTGTGGTGTGTCCCACGGTGTGGTGTGTCCCACGGTGTGGTGTGTCCCACGGTGTGGTGTGTCCCACAGTGTGGTGTGTCCCACGGTGTGGTGTGTCCCACTGTGTGGTGTGTCCAACTGTGTGGTGTGTCCCACTGTGTGGTGTGTCCCACTGTGTGGTGTGTCCCGCTGTGTGGTGTGTCCCGCAGTGTGGTGTGTCCCACTGTGTGGTGTGTCCCACTGTGTGGTGTGTCCCACGGTGTGGTGTGTCCCACTGTGTGGTGTGTCCCACTGTGTGGTGTGTCCCGCGGTGTGGTGTGTCCCACGGTGTGGTGTGTCCCACTGTGTGGTGTGTCCCGCTGTGTGGTGTGTCCCACTGTGTGGTGTGTCCCACTGTGTGGTGTGTCCCACTGTGTGGTGTGTCCCACTGTGGTTCCATGTGTGGTGTGTCCCGCAGTGTGGTGTGTCCCACAGTGTGGTGTGTCCCACTGTGTGGTGTGTCCCACTGTGTGGTGTGTCCCACTGTGTGGTGTGTCCCACTGTGTGGTGTGTCCCACGGTGTGGTGTGTCCCACGGTGTGGTGTGTCCCACTGTGTGGTGTGTCCCACAGTGTGGTGTGTCCCGCGGTGTGGTGTGTCCCACGGTGTGGTGTGTCCCACTGTGTGGTGTGTCCCGCTGTGTGGTGTGTCCCACTGTGTGGTGTGTCCCACTGTGTGGTGTGTCCCACTGTGTGGTGTGTCCCGCAGTGTGGTGTGTCCCACTGTGTGGTGTGTCCCACTGTGTGGTGTGTCCCACTGTGTGGTGTGTCCCACTGTGTGGTGTGTCCCACAGTGTGGTGTGTCCCACAGTGTGGTGTGTCCCACGGTGTGGTGTGTCCCACGGTGTGGTGTGTCCCACGGTGTGGTGTGTCCCACAGTGTGGTGTGTCCCACTGTGTGGTGTGTCCCACGGTGTGGTGTGTCCCGCTGTGTGGTGTGTCCCACGGTGTGGTGTGTCCCACGGTGTGGTGTGTCCCACGGCGTGGTGTGTCCCACGGTGTGGTGTGTCCCACTGTGTGGTGTGTCCCACAGTGTGGTGTGTCCCGCTGTGTGGTGTGTCCCACGGTGTGGTGTGTCCCACGGTGTGGTGTGTCCCACTGTGTGGTGTGTCCAACTGTGTGGTGTGTCCCACGGTGTGGTGTGTCCCACGGCGTGGTGTGTCCCACGGTGTGGTGTGTCCCACGGTGTGGTGTGTCCCACAGTGTGGTGTGTCCCGCTGTGTGGTGTGTCCCACGGTGTGGTGTGTCCCACGGTGTGGTGTGTCCCACTGTGTGGTGTGTCCAACTGTGTGGTGTGTCCCACGGTGTGGTGTGTCCCACGGTGTAGTGTGTCCCACGGTGTGGTGTGTCCCAGTGTGTGGTGTGTCCCGCTGTGTGGTGTGTCCCACTGTGTGGTGTGTCCCACTGTGTGGTGTGTCCCACTGTGTGGTGCGTCCCGCTGTGGTGTGTCCCACTGTGTGGTGTGTCCCACGGTGTGGTGTGTCCCACGGTGTGGTGTGTCCCACTGTGTGGTGTGTCCCACGGTGTGGTGTGTCCCGCAGTGTGGTGTGTCCCACTGTGTGGTGTGTCCCACTGTGTGGTGTGTCCCACTGTGTGGTGTGTCCCACTGTGTGGTGTGTCCCGCAGTGTGGTGTGTCCCACGGTGTGGTGTGTCCCACTGTGTGGTGTGTCCCACTGTGTGGTGTGTCCCACTGTGTGGTGTGTCCCACTGTGTGGTGTGTCCCACTGTGTGGTGTGTCCCACAGTGTGGTGTGTCCCACTGTGTGGTGTCCCACGGTGTGGTGTGTCCCACGGTGTGGTGTGTCCCACAGTGTGGTGTGTCCCACAGTGTGGTGTGTCCCACTGTGTGGTGTGTCCCACTGTGTGGTGTGTCCCACTGTGTGGTGTCCCACTGTGTGGTGTGTCCCACGGTGTGGTGTGTCCCACAGTGTGGTGTGTCCCACAGTGTGGTGTGTCCCACTGTGTGGTGTGTCCCACTGTGTGGTGTGTCCCACAGTGTGGTGTGTCCCACTGTGTGGTGTCCCACGGTGTGGTGTGTCCCACAGTGTGGTGTGTCCCACAGTGTGGTGTGTCCCACTGTGTGGTGTGTCCCACAGTGTGGTGTGTCCCACTGTGTGGTGTGTCCCACGGTGTGGTGTGTCCCACAGTGTGGTGTGTCCCACAGTGTGGTGTGTCCCACTGTGTGGTGTGTCCCACTGTGTGGTGTGTCCCACGGTGTGGTGTGTCCCACGGTGTGGTGTGTCCCACGGTGTGGTGTGTCCCACTGTGTGGTGTGTCCCGCAGTGTGGTGTGTCCCACAGTGTGGTGTGTCCCACTGTGTAGTGTGTCCGGTGTGTCCCACAGTGTGGTGTGTCCCACTGTGTGGTATGTCCGGTGTGTCCCACAGTGTGGTGTGTCCCACAGTGTGGTGTGTCCCACTGTGTGGTGTGTCCCACGTCCCGCAGTGTGATGTGTCCCACTGTGTGGTGTGTCCCACTGTGTGGTGTGTCCCACAGTGTGGTGTGTCCCACAGTGTGGTGTGTCCCGCTGTGTGGTGTGTCCCACTGTGTGGTGTGTCCCACTGTGTGGTGTGTCCCACAGTGTGGTGTGTCCCACAGTGTGGTGTGTCCCGCTGTGTGGTGTGTCCCACAGTGTGGTGTGTCCCACGGTGTGGTGTGTCCCACAGTGTGGTGTGTCCCACAGTGTGGTGTGTCCCGCTGTGTGGTGTGTCCCACTGTGTGGTGTGTCCCACAGTGTGGTGTGTCCCACAGTGTGGTGTGTCCCACTGTGTGGTGTGTCCCACTGTGTGGTGTGTCCCACAGTGTGGTGTGTCCCACGGTGTGGTGTGTCCCACTGTGTGGTGTGTCCCACTGTGTGGTGTGTCCCACAGTGTGGTGTGTCCCGCTGTGTGGTGTGTCCCACTGTGTGGTGTGTCCCACTGTGTGGTGTGTCCCACAGTGTGGTGTGTCCCACTGTGTGGTGTGTCCCGCTGTGTGGTGTGTCCCACAGTGTGGTGTGTCCCACAGTGTGGTGTGTCCCACAGTGTGGTGTGTCCCGCTGTGTGGTGTGTCCCACAGTGTGGTGTGTCCCACTGTGTGGTGTGTCCCACTGTGTGGTGTGTCCCACAGTGTGGTGTGTCCCGCTGTGTGGTGTGTCCCACAGTGTGGTGTGTCCCACTGTGTGGTGTGTCCCACAGTGTGGTGTGTCCCGCTGTGTGGTGTGTCCCGCTGTGTGGTGTGTCCCACTGTGTGGTGTGTCCCACAGTGTGGTGTGTCCCACAGTGTGGTGTGTCCCAGTGTGTGGTGTGTCCCAGTGTGTAGTGTGTCCCACTGTGTAGTGTGTCCCACAGTGTGGTGTGTCCCAGTGTGTGGTGTGTCCCAGTGTGTGGTGTGTCCCAGTGTGTGGTGTGTCCCGCTGTGTGGTGTGTCCCAGTGTGTGGTGTGTCCCAGTGTGTGGTGTGTCCCACAGCGTGGTGTGTCCCACAGTGTGGTGTGTCCCAGTGTGTGGTGTGTCCCGCTGTGTGGTGTGTCCCAGTGTGTGGTGTGTCCCACAGTGTGGTGTGTCCAAGTGTGTGGTGTGTCCCGCTGTGTGGTGTGTCCCAGTGTGTGGTGTGTCCCACAGTGTGGTGTGTCCCAGTGTGTGGTGTGTCCCACAGTGTGGTGTGTCCCAGTGTGTGGTGTGTCCCGCTGTGTGGTGTGTCCCGCTGTGTGGTGTGTCCCAGTGTGTGGTGTGTCCCACTGTGTGGTGTGTCCCACGGTGTGGTGTGTCCCACGGTGTGGTGTGTCCCACTGTGTGGTGTGTCCCAGTGTGTGGTGTGTCCCACAGCGTGGTGTGTCCCACAGTGTGGTGTGTCCCAGTGTGTGGTGTGTCCCGCTGTGTGGTGTGTCCCAGTGTGTGGTGTGTCCCACAGTGTGGTGTGTCCAAGTGTGTGGTGTGTCCCGCTGTGTGGTGTGTCCCAGTGTGTGGTGTGTCCCACAGTGTGGTGTGTCCCAGTGTGTGGTGTGTCCCACAGTGTGGTGTGTCCCAGTGTGTGGTGTGTCCCGCTGTGTGGTGTGTCCCGCTGTGTGGTGTGTCCCAGTGTGTGGTGTGTCCCACAGTGTGGTGTGTCCAAGTGTGTGGTGTGTCCCGCTGTGTGGTGTGTCCCAGTGTGTGGTGTGTCCCACAGTGTGGTGTGTCCCAGTGTGTGGTGTGTCCCACAGCGTGGTGTGTCCCACAGTGTGGTGTGTCCCAGTGTGTGGTGTGTCCCGCTGTGTGGTGTGTCCCACAGCGTGCTGTGTCCCGCAGTGTGCCCCGCAGCGCACCGCACCGGCTGCAGTAGTGGTCGTGCAGCAGGCAGGCGTCCGGCAGATCCAGCTGCAGGCGCGAGTTATGGTAGAGGCAGCGCTGCTGCTGCAGTTCCACCGCCTGCTGCAGCAGCGTGTGCAGGCGGCGCGGGGGCAGCATCACCGACGGCGGCAGGAATGCTGCGCTCGCCGCGCCCACCGGGAACAACCGCACGCACACCGGTCAGCGCCCGTGGACACCATGGGGTGAACGGTGGTGGAACAGGAGGTAGTGGTGCAGCCCTGCTCGTGCCACTGCTGGTGGAAATGATCTCCAGATACCCGCCAGAGCCGTGGTTCCCTAACCCGCCTGAACCGGTGCACCACTCCCAACCCTCGATGCAATGTGCGCACCACCCTGCACCAATAGCAGCTAGATCATACTCTTTGTTAGAGCAAAAAGTTTTGCTGGCTGCCTGGCGGGCTGATGAGTGGGCGGGCAAGTGCGCGGTGGTGACATCACCCGCATGCCACAGCGTTGAGTAGGGTTCGTGCGCGCTGTCACGGCTCCCCCCTGCACACCCACCTTCCACCCGGCCGTCTATCGTGCGCACATGCGTGTGCAGTGCTGGCCAAGCTCAACAGGACTCTTAATCGTAGTTACATTCCTCATCTGCTACTGCTGCTCCGCTGGCAGTGGTGCACAAGCACAAATAACAACAAAAATGCAGTAATAAAAACACTGGAGCCTTAAAGAGAAAATCATATACAATTGCCGACAGTTTGGGTAATGGCTCTACATCATAGTGCATAAACGATCCTCTACAGTTCTTTGAGGATAGATTGCGTAAATATAAATGTGTGGTTAAACGGTTAATGTAGTCATATAATGTCATCTACTGTATGACTACATTAACCCACCCCCCCCCCCATAGTCTTCACACCTGAGAGGCTCAAGTGATGACATCACCTTTACTCCCCTGTTTAAGACCGAAACAGGAAGATGTCTTTACAACTCTGGCTGTCGCCTGATGAGGCCGGTTTGTTGTAATCACCAGCGAAACGTCACGGTACTCGAATTGTAAATGTTGTAGTGGGTTTACTCTCCAACATACACTACACTATACACTAGACTATACACTACACTATACACTACACTATAATTGTAAATGTTGTAGTGGGTTTACTCTCCAACATACCGGTGTGCTGAACTCGCAACTAATTGGCACGTTTTCTTTACGTGACAAACTTTACTAAGTGGCTGTGTCGGGTGGTGGCGGGCTTAACGACATATTTATATTTACGTGATCTAACCCAAAAAACCTTTGTGTTATGGAAACTATTGGTCGCGAAAGCCTCCTACGTGTTAAAACTTCTACAGTTCTAAGGATCACTTCTCATGGCCTTGCGGGGCGCCAGTGGTACGCAGACTGCGCGTTGAGAATCAACGCTATACAGACGGTCATTTGGCCTACTCTTCCACGCTGGACAGAGCGGTGGGGAGTACCCACATTTCACCCTACCATACCAGACCTGCTGATCAACTGTGGGAGACTTTTGTGAGAAAAGGTGGTGGAGGAGGGCGAGAAGGTGGGGTCCCATGTGAGAGGGGACGCTGGGCGAGAGAGTGACGGGCCTCACCCTGCAGTTTCTCCAGGAGCCGGCATCTGGAGGTCGGGCCCTTGCCGTCCCAGGAGGCCTTGTCCCTCAGCTCCTCGGCGGTGCTGCACATCAGGTACCTGGGGAGTGGCACAGGTATCCAATCGACACTCAGCGGCGTCCACCATGGCCGCGCTGCTCCAGGTGGACAACGGTAATGGCCACGTCACCCCGACACAGCACTATCAGCGTGAACAAAGTCACCGCATGAATAGCGTGCGCGGCGTCGCTCAGTGTGTGTGTGCGTGGTCATAGTGTATGTGCAGTGTCACTTGGTGTGTATGTGTGTGTGGTGTCACTTGGTGTGTGCTGTGTCACTCGGTCTAAGTGCGGTGTCCCCTGGCAAGGCGTGCGGTGCCCACCCACCCGCTAAGCTCGTGGATTCTCTCCGTGTTGTGCTTGAGTGGCGTGAGGTCCTGGCGTAGCACGGTGAGTGCTTCCAGGAGTTTCCCGTCCTCCAGGTGCTCCAGGTACTTCTGCTCAAGCAGCAGGAACTTCATGTGCTGAGGGCATGGCACCCACGGGGGGCAGCATCGAGGACGGCAGCCGGAAGAGCAGTGGGGGCAGCATTAGGGCACCGAGTTACGAACACCACCACACGTCTCACCGGACACGGCATTACGTCACCCCAACACTCCACTGGCTCCCAAGCCAACCCAGTATCAATTTCAAGATCGCACACTCACCATCTCAAACATCCTGTGGTCCCATCCCTGCCTAACACTTCCTACGTATCTCACTCTACTCCCCTCCACACACTCTTCCCTCTCAGCTCTACCCTCACTCTACTCCCCATCCACAGTCTCCTACCTTTCCCCTCTCATCTCACTCTGCTCACTTCCATGCACTCTCCTACCTCTCCCCTCTATTTTCACTCTACTCCCCTTCACACTCTCCTACCTCTCCCCTCTGATTTCACTCTACTCACCCCTCCACACACTCTCTGACCTCTCACTTCATTCTATTCCCCTCCACGCACTCTCCTACCTCTCCCCTCTCATCTCACCCTACTTTCTCCACGCGCACTCCATTGCAGTAACCAATGTTTTACATCTTAGCCCCCAGTAAACCTTCACTCAATGTGACGTCGCTCATTCTCCTCTGCCGCCCCCATCATCTGTCTGGAACGTCCTCTCCCTGGTTTACATGCTGCCAACTCGCTACCCCTATTCAAGGCCAACCCAAGTCCTGAGATGTGGTTGCATTTATCCCCTGTAGAAGTCCAAGGAGTTTCCTGCTTACCACAACTCCGTTTGGTGAATTCATCAGCAGCTTCAACTCACCGAGGTCCTTCTCAGCCTAAAACAAAACACAGCAACAATAACAGCCGCTATTCACCACGAATTGGCGGTGACATCACCATCGTGCTTGTGCTAGCCTAGGGGCAATTTGAAGCTATCACGTGAAGTGTGGAAGGCTTGCTGCAGGCAGGAGACCACGGGACAACCCCAGGTTGTTATGGGTTGACTGACTGAGTTGGCTGGCAGATGCACCACCTGTGCTCCTCACTGTGCTATATTGCTGCGTTTAAAATGCCCTGCACCCCACTGGTTGTGAGCTTCACTCCTCTGCCCTCCGCTGTAGTTGGATGGAAACTGCCTCCAACTGCCCAGTAGTATTCTTCACAAACCTCATCCAGACGCCGATTTTGACACTGCTGGCAGCAGTCATCGGCAAGTTCACTCAGCTCCACATCCTACTGGACGATATCAGTCCATATTTTGTCTAGACCATACTGTGCCAGTTTAGCACCCTCTATCCAGCCAAACAGAAGCTGCTTGGCCATCCAGTGGTTGGGCAATGGGTTACATGAAACAGACAATGCAGCCTTGGCTCCTGTGGGAGCACACTTACGGGACTTTTGTTCAAATTTGCGAGCTCCTCTCACAATCCAGTTTGGTGTGTGGTGCCTGTGTGGTGGTGTCATGCCCGTGCGGTGCAGTGTCCGTGCGGTGTGCCTGTGTGATGCAGTGTCCGTGCGGTGCGGTGTGTCCATACGGAGCGGTGCCGGTGCGGTGCTCATGCGGTGCGGTCCCCGTGCGGTGTGCCCATGTGCCTGTTGGGTGCACCGTGTCTCGCGAGCGAGCGTGCTGGTTGTGCAATTTGGCAGTCCGTGCCTTTTCCCACTCCCCGTCCATCGCGTGGCTCCGGAACCTGGATGCGGCCGGGTGCTCCAGTCGACAGCCAGACTCCTCCACGAGCCTCTGCACCGTTTGTCTGTGGGGGGAGGGGGGAAGGGCAACCATGGCACGTGCAGCGTCAGCCCCCTCCCCTGCCGGGCGGTAGGGACTACGCACGTGGCCTGTAATCCATCATTGAGGAGGCGAGGGTTGGTGGATGACACAAATTCATGTGAAACGCTCTTCCTGTGCGAGCAGAGGTGCTACAGCCTGGCTCGCCAGAAGGTGCTCCGATATCCTTCCACAAGCGAACACTCATCATCAACTGGCCGATACCACCTTCATATTCAGAGGACTGCAGAGCTTTAGGGTGAATTTGGTGGTGGCTGCTGCTGCCTTCCCACTTGTCTGGTTCCTCGTGCTTCCGAGTCGCTCTCTTTGAGTGAACGAATACGGAGCGGTGGCTGCGTGTTACACATTTAAATCATTACGGGTGGCCACTGCAGGAGCCTCTCCCAGGATCTCTCCACCTGCCAAGGACATTAAGTTTGCGAATTCGCCATGGTGGGGGGAGGTGGGGGGTGAAGCTATGTTGAAGTTGGTGGCCACGTGGCTAGAGAGACCCACGTCAAGGAGCAAGGGGCCTACGGGGTCATGATATGAATTTATGGGCTCAAGTCTATATATGGATCTTAATGCGTTCAAGGCTGATCTGGTGGCAGTGGTTGGTTTGTGATGCACAATTGCAAGGCCATGAGTTCAAATCCTTGTCAGGGGCTGACTCAGCCCTTCGTCAACATCACCAGCCACCATCAATCCACTGCTGGTTTAGGGACATCAAAAGGCCATGTCCCTCTCATGGCCCTGCGATGTAACAATCCGACATACCCCCAAGAGCTCAGCCTGAAACCCATCCCTGGAGGGTGGATGAAATAAGCACCGTATTGTTACAATTCAATTGTGGCTCTCTTATGTACGTCCACCTTTGGCTCCCTCTTGGCTGAGGACAAGGAGAGTTGGCGATGCCACGCTCGTTATAGTCGACCAGCAACGTGTTTAACTTGAGCTGTCCACAAGTGTGCGTGGAAGGGAGGCTATCACACCGCCCCCCATCTTCCTATTCCACGCGGCCCTTCCGAGCCTATGGGGGAGCCCAGCCGGTTAAACATTAATTGGACTGCGCACGCAGCGGCATTCACGAGCACACACACCGCACACCGCTCCAGAAGAGCCGTTCACAATATGGTGACCTGCTTTGGCAGTAGCCCTGCTCCTCGTGTGCGAACGTGCCCGCTACACGAAATGTAATTTACGCAGTCACCGTCCATGGTCCTACCCACTGCCAGACGAAGGCGCCCCCCCCCCCCTCATTGTCACGACAATCACACCGCGAGACGCCGCTTCTCCACTGCTGGATTCCGCTGACCAGGGCGCCTCCCTCCCACCCCACCACTTGGCGGTGGCGAACCCTGGACGAGTGGGGGCCTTGACTCACGTGAGGCCGAGCCCCTGCAGGTGCTGCCCGACCAGACGGATCACGTCCTCGTCCGTGCGGCTCATCCTGCGAGGCCGCGGTCTCCTCGGGGCCCCCTCCCCCGGGGGGTGCCCGGGGCCCAACGCGCCCTTGATGGCCCCGGGCTGCAGGGCCGAGGGGCAGGGGCCCTGCATGGCCCCTGCCGCCGCCGCCGCCGCCGCCTCTCGCCTGCGCCGCTTGCGGGGCGGAGCGCCGCTCCTCGCTCCTCCGTCCTCCGAGTCCGAAGACGAGGCCAGAGTGGAGCCTCGCCCGCCCGGGGCGGCGGGGAGGAGGAGGAGGAGGGGGGGATCAGGGCCAGACCCGGCCCAGGATGAGCCTCAGAACGCGAGCCAGCTCGGGACGAGGTCGAGACTCGAGCCAGCCCAGAGCCGCCACTAAAACACAACCAGAGCTGAACCCGTGCCAGTCCAGAGCCGGGCCCAGACCGAGACCCAGAGCCAGCAGACGAGTCCCAGAGCCCAGCGCTGGGCCAGACACAGGGAAGAGTCGTCGAGTGGAACCAGGTTGCAGATTCAGAAGCGCACCTAGGCCAGAAGCGGGTGGGGGGAGTGCGAAGCCACCGAGAACCAACAGCCCAGACCGAACCAAACGCGACCCGGATCGTGAAAGACCGATAACCAAGTCTCGTTGAGTCGAGTCGAACCCCGAGCAGAACCCAACAGCGAACACGGCGCCAGACCCGGTCACCGAGCCTCTGAGCCAGACCCGGGCCAGAAAGGATCCAAGGAGACCCGGACCCAAAGAAAGCCGAGAGAGTTCCACCCGGAGCGGAGCTGGCGGGACCCGCGCGCGCCGCCCCCCCTGAACCCCCCCCACCCACCACACACCCCGCGGCTCGCTTCACATTCCCTAGTGCGCACGCGCGGCCGCCTCGCGCAATCGCCGCTCGCCATTGGTTTAGACGTCTGCACGCGGGGTCACGTGACAGACAGAGCCAATGAGCGACGGGTGAGGGAGGCGGGGCGGGGGGGGTGCCACTATCCGTGCTGGGGAATGTAAAGCGGTGGTGTGAGTCACGTGACGATGCTCGCGTGCTACCCACGTGTGCGGGGCGAGCCGCCCCCTGCGACTCGAGGCTGGCGGCTCAGCACTGGTCCAATGAAGCCTCGCACTGCTGATGAGACGCTGAACGTCAAAGCCAGTCCTCGCCTATTATATCTGGAAATTCACCGACATTGGTTCAATGAAGTCTGACACTGCTGATGAGACATTGAATGTCAAACCTTGACCAAAATCTGATCGTGGTGAATCAATGCTGCTGAAACAATGCACTCTTGAGATGGCCGTGTGGCTGATGTGATGTGTCAAAACATACTATCCGCAATTGTCTGTCCCCCAGGGTGGTGCAGCAGTGTTCACCGGAGGTTCCCCGCGCTCCTCAGCTGCTCGCAATAGAGTATCTGGGAAATCCACCTCCCTCCCACTCGCCCAACCATCCAGGATGTGCCCTCGGCAAAGGTTCGCGTTGATTACATGTAGCTACTACATATGTGTAGCTAGTGTAGCTACACATGTGTAGTAGCTACTACATGTGTAGCAGCTACTACACATGTGTAGTAGCTGCTACACATGTAGCTACTACATGTGTAGCTACTACACATGTAGTAGCTACTACATGTGTAGTAGCTACTACACATGTAGTAGTAGCTACACATGTAGTAGCTACACAAGAAGCTACACGTGTAGTAGCTACGGGCCCCGCACTTTCAAGGGCCCCGCGCTAAATGCTATCAAGCTATCAACTCCGGTTAAGTGATTCTGCACTTGCTCTATTACTATAGTACTATACCACCTTCAACTTTTATGAACGACTGGGTGTTTAAGGTTAGCGATTTGTCGTATTATCTGCCTGTATAGCAAATGAAAAAATACAATTGCTTGACTGCAAGTAAAAATTAAAAAGTGCTTTATTTATTTATTTAGGGCCCCTTGAAAACATATACTTCGGTCCACGCGTGTTCCCAGTGTGTCGCGTGCACGCGCCTGGACGCGGTGTGTGTTACTACTACTACTACACATGTGTGTGTGTGTGGCTGAGCGCTGTGCACGTGTTGTGTGTAGTACGTACGCGTGTTACAGTGAGGGAAAAAAAGTATTTGATCCCCTGCTGATTTTGTACATTTGCCCACTGACAAAGAAATTATGAGTCTAAAATGTTAATGGTAGGTTTATTTGAACATTGAGAGACAGAATAACAACAACAAAATCCAGAAAAACGCATGTCAAAAATGTTATAAATTGATTTGCATTTTAATGAGGGAAATAAGTATTTGACTCCTCTGCAAAACATGACTTAGTACTTGGTGGCAAACCCCTTGTTGGCAATCACAGAGGTCAGACGTTTCTTGTAGTTGGCCACCAGGTTTGCACACATTTCAGGAGGGATTTTGTCCCACTCCTCTTTGCAGATCTTCTCCAAGTCATTAAGGTTTCGAGGCTGACGTTTGGCAACTCGAACCTTCAGCTCCCTCCACAGATTTTCTATGGGATTAAGGTCTGGAGATTGACTAGGCCACTCCAGGACCTTAATGTGCTTCTTCTTGAGCCACTCCTTTGTTGCCTTGGCCGTGTGTTTTGGGTCATTGTCATGCTGGAATACCCATCCACGACCCATTTTCAATGCCCTGGCTGAGGGAAGGAGGTTCTCACCCACGATTTGACGGTACATGGCCCCGTCAATCCACCCTTTGATGAGTTGAAGTTGTCCTGTCCCCTTAGCAGAAATACACCCCCAAAGCATAATGTTTCCACCTCCATGTTTGACGGTGGGGATGGTGTTCTTGGGGTCATAGGCAGCATTCCTCCTCCTCCAAACACGGCGAGTTGATTTAATGCCAAAGAGCTCCATTTTGGTCTCATTTGACCACAACACTTTCACCCAGTTGTCCTCTGAATCATTCAGATGTTACTTGGCAAACTTCAGACGGGCATGTATATGTGCTTTCTTGAGCAGGGGAACCTTGCGGGCGCTGCAGGATTTCAGTCCTTCACGGCGTAGTGTGTTACCAACTGTTTTCTTGGTGACTATGGTCCCAGCTGCCTTGAGATCATTGACAAGATCCTTCCGTGTAGTTCTGGGCTGATTCCTCACCGTTCTCATGATCATTGCAACTCCACGAGGTGAGATCTTGCATGGAGCCCCAGGCCGAGGGAGATTGACAGTTATTTTGTGTTTCTTCCATTTGCGAATAATCACACCAACTGTTGTCACCTTCTCACCAAGCTGCTTGGCGATGGTCTTGTAGCCCATTCCAGCCTTGTGTAGGTCTACAATCTTGTCCCTGACATCCTTGGAGAGCTCTTTGGTCTTGGCCATGGTGGAGAGTTTGGAATCTGATTGATTGCTTCTGTGAGACAGGTGTCTTTTATACAGGTAACAAAGCTGAGATTAGGAGCACTCCCTTTAAGAGTGTGCTCCTAATCTCAGCTCGTTACCTGTATAAAAGACACCTGGGAGCCAGAAATCTTTCTGATTGAGAGGGGGTCAAATACTTATTTCCCTCATTAAAATGCAAATCAATTTATAACATTTTTGACATGCGTTTTTCTGGATTTTTTTGTTTTTATTCTGTCTCTCACTGTTCAAATAAACCTACCATTAAAATTATAGACTGATCATTTCTTTGTCAGTGGGCAAACGTACAAAATCAGCAGGGGATCAAATACTTTTTTCCCTCACTGTATATCTAGACACAGCAGAGTGGTTCTCAAAGTGTGGTCCCAGCAACACTGGCGGGTCCGCGACGGTCCTCAAACTGGGGGCTGTGATGGGAATGCAGCTTGACCCGCACGGTGATTGCCTTGGCGGCCCTTTGGGTGGCGTAGACTGTAGACCCACTGCCGGCGTCGTCGTTGTTGTCTCCTGCATTGGCATCAGCTGCCCCGCACATGCTGCTGCTGGTGCTGCTGAGACACTTGGGATACGCCCATCTCCAACCCTTTATAAAGAGTTTGCCTTTTAGAGGCTAACCCCCCCTTTCGTGATGACGACCGCTTGTGTTGCGATCGAAATGTCGTGGCTTTTTGTTTTTTGATATATTTTTCAGGCTACAGTCTACATTATAGACTGCCAGTACACTCACCGATGTTAATAACCAGGCTACAGTCTACATTATAGACTGCCAGTACACTCACCCAGCTTAATAACCAGGCTACAGTCTACATTATAGACTACCAGTCCACTCGCCAAACGTAATAACCAGGCTACATTCTTTGGTTCTTTCGGTAAAGTCACGTATAAAGATAAAATAATAAATTAAATAATTGCATACTACGACGTTTCGATTGCAACACAAGCAATCATCAGGTATAAAAGAAATAGCAACAAAAATCTAACCAGAAAACTATAGACAGACATATAAGCAGACAGATATCACAAAGATACACAGAGAGAGAGAGAGAACACGTATCGGCACAAAGAGAGAGGTCGTCTCTGTGACGAGGCCTTAAATATAGAGAGGGGGCGGGGGTGGAGAGAGGGAGGGGGCAGAGAAAAATTATTCTCTCTCTCTCTCTGTGTATCTTTGTGATATCTGTCTGCTTATATGTCTGTCTATAGTTTTCTGGTTAGATTTTTGTTGCTATTTCTTTTATACCTGATGATGATTGCTTGTGTTGCAATCGAAACGTCGTAGTATGCAATTATTTAATTTATTATTTTATCTTTATACGTGACTTTACCGAAAGAACCAAAGAATAATTCCTGCAGTCACGAAAGCTCCAAAATTAAGATTGAACAAGGCTACAGTCTACATTATAGACTTCCAGTATACTCACTCCGATTAAGAACCAGGCTACAGTATTATTTTGTATTATTTGTATTCACTGTATTTGTATTATTTTTATATCTACGTGACTTTACCTAAAGAACCAAAGAATATGATAACAAACTAAACACAAATGAAGTTAGGTTAAACTACCTTGATTAATCGACCCTAAGGGGCCGTCCATAAATGACGTCACGCGATTTTGGACGAGTTTTGACCCCCCCCCCCCCACGTCACACGTCGTCACAAAAAGTTCAGACCCCCCCCTCAAATATGACATCACAAAGCTCTGCCCCCCCAAATAAAGCATGCTTCAAATCGCTTTAAAGTATTGTTATTGTAGTGCGTATATAATGTGCGGCTGCATTCTGATATTGTAGGAGAACCATTAAAAAGTATATTTAATTAAGTAGAACGTGTTGTCTATTTAAAGTTGCGAATTTTTATGTGACGTCACATTTCTCAACCCCCCCCCCCAAGTCAACAATCGTCACAAGTCACAAATGTCTGACCCCCCCCCCCAGGTGCGTGACGTCATTTATGGACGCCCCCTAAGATCTAATGCCACCCCTAAAAAACTTATACCTGCGTTTACATTGTTTTGTTATTGTTCCGGTAATGAGTCATTGTGTATGAGTAATGTTTGGAGAGATAAGTGAACGCGTTTTGCCACCAGGGGGTGCTGGGTAGTCCGCAGAAATGTTTGCATCAGCTGAGTGGTCCACGTGCTCAAGGAGTGTGAGAAACACCGACGTTGCTCACCTCCGTGTGTGTGTGTTGTGGTGCTGGCCACCCACCCCTCGTGTGCCGTGCCGGCCTTCATAGGTGCTGCTCGATAACGGCACTTGCCCCAACAGTCTGTGAAGGCTAAACGGGGGATCTTTGTCTTTGTGGATGTGTTGTGTGAACATCACCACCGTCTTGTACACTTCTGCCTTCCAGGTTTGGTTGATGGGAAACGTGCACAAGACGGTGGTGAGGCCGGTGCTGTTGTATGGAGGGGGCCGAGTGCTGGGGCACAATAAAGAGGGCGGACCACGC